TATAAAAATAAAATTATGGGGGCCGCCTAGTGGTGTAGTGGCTAAGTTCACACGTTCTGCTTTGGCAGCCCAGGGTTCACAAGTTCAGATCCTTGGTGGGGACCTACACACCACTCATAAAGCCATGCTGTGCAGGTGTCCCACATACAAAATAGAGGAAGACTGGCACAGATTTTAGCTCAATGACAATCTTCCTCAAGCAAAAAGAGGAAGATTGGCAACAGGCGTTAGCTCAGGGCCAATCTTCCTCACCAAAAAAAATTAAATTAAAATTAAAATTAAAAAATAAAATAAAATTAAAATTAAAATTAAAAAATAAAGTAAAATAAAATTATGGGGCCAGCCAGGTGGCGTAGTGGTTAAGATCGTGTGCTCTGCTTCGAAGGTCTGGGGTGTGCAGATTTGGATCCCGAGTGTGGACCTACACACTGCTCATCAAGCCATGCTGTGGCGGCATACCACATACAAAGTAGAGGAAAACTGGCACAGATGTTAGCTCAGTGACAATCTTCCTCAAGCAAAAAGAGGAATATTAGCAACAGGTGTTAGCTCAGGGCCAATTTTCTTCACTAAAAAAATTAGTAAATAAAATTATACTGCTCCAAAATGTTCTCACTACAGAAGCCAGAAATTTATATGCCCAAAACATCTTACTAAATCTTGCCAAAGCAAGTACACATTGATAATTAAATGATTTAAGCTTCCAGCTAAATGTTCTTCTTTGGCTGGTTATTTATTTCATAGCCAACAAAAACCATTTAGAAGATGGAATTTGGCATATGACTCTCACAAACAAGAACATTAACAAGCCTAAATCAGGGTTCAGTCAAACTGAGCAAATACTTCTAGAAATTTCCCTCGTGTGTTTTCTTCAGTTATTAGGAGAATTCAAAGCCTCAGCTCTGCCACATATATCCAGCCCAGATGCTCAAAGCACTTGATTTTACCCCAGGGCAAAATTCCATATTCAAGACTAGATCTAGAACAGATGGCCACTCCACCTCTTCTATAATCTTGTTGTGCCCTATGAATAAATGAAAAGACTAAAGGGAACACAGATTCCACAATAGGGCCAGAACAAACATTATTACTATTAATACTACTAATAATATTTATTAAGTACTTTTGTGTACATGGTACCCTAATAAGCTCTGCACAGAGTCCTGGTGATCATAATGTTCCATATAGGAACTATGCACATTCTTTAATGGTGCCCATTAGAGAACGTGCGCAGCTCTTGCCTTCACAGAGTTTTCAATCTGAGCAGTGATTGTGTGTCCAGTACCATTCCTGGAGCAGATATAAAATCAATTCCTCAAGAATTTAATGAATCTGGGGCCGGCCTGGTGGCACAGCAGTTAAGTGCGCGTGTTCCGCTTCTTGGCGGCCCGGGGTTCACCAGCTGGGATCCCGGGTGTGGACAGGGCACTGCTTGGCAAGCCATGCTGTGGTAGGCAACCCACATATAAAGTAGAGGAAGATAGGCATGGATGTTAGCTCAGGGCCGGTCTTCCTCAGCAAAAAGAGGAGGATTGGCAGTAGTTAGCTCAGGGCTAATCTTACTCAAAAAAAATAAAAAAAGCTTTTAATGAATCCTATTATGTGCCAGTACTTTGGGGATAACGAATGACAATGTCCCTGCCTTCAAGCTGGCTATAATCTACTCGAAACAAAAAGAAAAATACAGGAGTCAAGGGTTATATGTTAATTTATGTGGTACACACAGTAAATATTCAAGAGATAAATGAGAGCCATACTATTACTACTAGCTGACGCTTAGCACTTCTAGTATATAGACCAATGTTTTGAGCTCTATCTAAGTTAACTTATTTAAATCCTTGCCTTGGGTATGTTCCATTATGACCACTCATTCTATAGATGGGAAAACTGAGGCACAGAGGGTTAAGTCACTTGCCTGAAATAACATAGCTAGTAACTGGTAGAGCGGGGCTTTTTCCTCTTAACCACAGAGCTGAAGAAAGGATTCAGGAAAGAGGAGGGCACTGAGCTAAATCTGAAGGATTTAGAGCAAGAGGGAAGGGCATGTTGAGTGAGAGAACTTGAACAAAGGCAGGACTGAACACAATATGAGTAAAAGTTGGAGAGTGGTGGGAAAGAAGATTAGATTCTAGGCAGGATAAACAGGGTCAAATTATGGAAGGTTTTAAATTTTTAAAAAGGTGGAAGTTTTGATCTAATGTGGTAGGATTTAAGATGTCACTGATGGTATGTTGCCTCAGATGGTGGCTCCTGAGCATTCCTACCTAGTCCTAAGGTCATATGTGCGAGGAAGGCAAGGATGATATAATCTCATTCCTCAGACTCAAATATCCAGTCTCTGCCAATGTTTCTGGTTTTGACATTAATCTGCTGGTGGCCCTTTATTAGAGAAATAGATTAAGCAGCAAGTGCTGCCAGTATCAACTACACGTTGACCCTAAAACACAGTTAAGAAAAACAAATGTCAAATTATCATTAAAAGTCATGAGTGGTAAGAGGTGCTATTAAACACCAAACAACATATATTTTGTTATTTAATTCAATTTATAAGAAAAATTTAAGGCAACGTTTTTAGAACTACACTACACATAGTAATCACCCAGTTAACATGTTAAATGCAGATTCTTGGGTCCTACCCCAACCAAGAGGTTGATTTAATAAGTTGATTTCGGGACAAAAATTATGCATTTTTATTTAAAAGCAATAGAATCAGTCGATTCTAACTCAGGCAATCTAAATATCAAACTGAAACAAAGTGGAAAAGTTCTGAAAGAATACTAAAAATAGTTTACCTGTATCTATTATCTTTCCCTATTATAGAATCTTTAATACATTACTCAAATTAAAAAAAGCCACAAAACCACAGCAATCCTGAATTTATCTATTAAAACACTTAATATATCATTGCTGGTAAAAAATATGAAAAGCCAATAAGTCACGTGTGAACAACTAGAGATTAGATACTCACTTTATCATTAAATATTGTTTATATCCTTGGACATAAATAAAAAGTTTGTTTTTTAAGAGATAATTTTGGCTAAATTATTTTATGTGAAGAAGCACACCCATTACACTATCATGGAGGTCATGAAACTTCATCAAGTCCAGAATAATCAGATATCTAGTCATAAAATTCATTTTTCTGTTTTAAAAACTTCCAGTTATCAATTCTTCTTTTTAAAAAGGACACATTCTGGGGCTGGCCCAATGGCATAGTGGTTAAGTTTGCACACTTTGCTTTGGCAGCCGGGGTTCTCAGGTTCAGATCCCGGGTGTGGACCTAGCACTGTTCATCAAGCCATGCTGTGTTAGCATCCCATATACAAAACAGAGTATGATGGGCACAGATGTTAGCTCAGGGCTAATCTTCCTCAGCAAAAAGAGGAGGATTGGCAATGGATGTTAGTTCAGGGCCAATCTTCTTCACACACAAAATAAGCAAATAAATAAAATTTAAAAAAATAAAAAGGACACATTCAAAGAATATTTCAGGAAAAACAATAATTAGCATTTTGAATAAATCTTATAATCATATATTTCATATTTTACATCTTGGCTAAAAATTCAATAAACAAAACCCTAAGCTGAATATAAAACAAGAAAACAAAGATTTATGAAGCTAAAAGGCATAATAAAAATGGTTCTATACCATGAGTAAAATAATGACAATATTCAATGAGAACGCTTATCATAAGTTAAACAGTGGGACTATTCAAGAAGCATTTGGAAGAAATGACATTTTAAATCTGGAAAAGGTAAATTACATTTACTAAATTAATACTCTGCAATCATTTAGGGTCCTCTGAGGCAAGAATTATTGGTTTGACTTTACACCAGGTGAAACCTTTGTTAAAAGAGATAAAATGTTTTATTTCATTCATTTTGTAGATATTTTTAAAATGAGAAGACTCCCAAGGTATCAATGATTTCCAAAGAAACAAGGTAAGGGATTTGTTCTAAATGGTGTACTACTAACACTGGCATAAAAGGTTGTAAACTCCTATTTTTAGGGGAATGAAGAATATCACATTATACATAAGATCCAGTTATTTTCCACCTTATATTCAATCTATAAGCCCAGGAACGTTATGTCTGATAAATAAGGTCAATACTTAAGGGGATAAGGAGATTCAAAAATATTCTACTATATGTCGAGCAGAGGACCTTCCTTACCGGGGGCTTAAGAGATGCCAAACTACTGACCGATCTAGAGGGAGGGGAGGGGAAGGTGGGGAGGGAGAGGAGAGGGGAGGGGAGGGGATGAGAGGAGAGGAGAGGAGACGAGACGAGACGAGACGAGACGAGACGAGACGAGACGAGACGAGAAGAGACGAGAAGAGAAGAGAACAAAAGAAAAGAACCTTATTTGAAAACACTAACATATTAATATATATAAAGTAATATACTTTTAAAAATATATATGTGTGGCAAGTGTAATCGAACAGTTCAAATAATAGTGGTGTTATTTGGGAAAAGAGACAGTAAGTGGTGATGTTATTTTACTCCATAGGAGGACATTTAACGTTTCATTTTATAAAGAGTCCACAAATTGAAAATATTTTATATATTTAAGTACATTTCTACTGCTAAGATATGCCAGTATTTACTAATGCATGCCATCTGAAGGAAAAGTTGCATGAGGAATCTCATCATAGATTCGTTAAAAAAAAAAGAACACTGTGATTTCAGGAGAAATGGGAGAAAGCAGAGTTATTCTACTACTGTAGTCAAAACTGTTTAAACTCTTATTTTTAAAGGCCAAAAGGACTATCATTAAAATTTCACATTCCTAATGGAAATTTACTTTGATTAGTTAGTGATCATTATCACATGCCAACTCTTTGCGAGGCACTAACGGTACATGTTACGGAGGCAGAGAGGAATAAAACACTGTCCTTGACTTTAAGGAACTCACAATCTATCTAGAAGCAGCAGATTCATCTGCTAATTATAACACAAGGTAGAATAAAAGGCACTAAACAGAGGTGTGAACAACTCACCGTGGGATTAAAAGGAGCAGAGCAGTCCCCAGATTCTCGGCTGTAGCGCCTGGTACCTCTGAAACCAGAGCTGTTCTTTTTAGATTTTTCTAGAAGGGTTAAGGGAGGAATACTGCCTGCCTGTATGGGGCAGAAGGACAGACCAGAGGTCTAAAAGCTGCTTACAAAGACTTGCAAACAAACCACGTGTTTTAGCCCTGTGTCCCCTTCCCCAACACACTCAATTTCGGTAGTGCCTTGCGCAGCCAATCCCTGAGCCTTTCTGGGGTTCTTCAGCTGTCAGGTAATTTCTAGACGGTACCCCCTTTGCAGGCACTTCTGTCTGTCTTCCTTTTGTTCTGCTAAGCCATTTACCATCCCTCTATCCGTTCCATGTCTTGAAGGGTTGTGGACTGGGGTTCAGATGTCTCCCAGCTTCAATAAACATGAGGCAAGTTTTCGGTTGTTTTTCTTGCTTTGATGATTTTCAAAAGGAGAGTAGAGTGGAAATGACTTAATTCTTTCATCTTAAAACCTGCCTTAATTATGTGATTACTACAATTTCGTAACTAAATTGACATTTAGAAAAGAATACTAACAGTAAAGTGAAAAATTTTAAACTCGGAAAAGAATACTAACAGTAAAGTGAAAAATTTTAAACTCGAGCTATAAAAACAAATCTTTCATAGACAAATTTTGAAGAACGTGGCGAGAAGGGTAGGAGAAGATGCTTTATGGTTTAAGGAAGCAGAAAGAAACTTCAAAGTATTCCCCAAATCATCTGAAGTAGGCTACTGCCTACCCTGCCTGAAGGAAAGTACAAGTTAGGAAAGCACAAACAATTCAAACCTTCACAAATACGGTGAACTCCTCCACTTTCTCAGTGGCTAACAGCAACTTCTTCTGTGCCCCTTCTAGGGCCTGCTCACTTTGCAATGCTAATCCTTGAAGATGTTTAGATGCTGCTGTTTCAATTTCTGCCATGGCAGATTCAGTCTCATTTACTTTTGATACTAGGATGTTAAGCTTGAGATCCTGCAAAAAACCCGTAATCACAGAATAAAAATTATTTCATAAACAGATTTGGAAGAGTTAGTAACACGTGACAGATAAAGAAAGGATTTCATTACTCTCTCTGTATGTATTTATTTTTATTTGGGTAAAATTGATGGTTGTTTCTGTTTATTTTTAATAAAATATCCTGAGCACATATTTTTATATATTTATCATCAAAATTAGTATATGCTTTTTAAAAATAATAAATCATTAAAGATATGGAAGCTATTTTAGACCAAAAGATCTCATATAGTAAATGGCAATGTTTAATTAGTTTATAAGTTTAGGTGGACCTAAAAGATTTATATCCACTTGTGCCAGTTCTTAACAATAGAATTCATTTATAAGAAATTATCAAGACACAAAATCTGTTTCTCTAATATAGCACTACCTTGAATGTTAAATTCTTAGTGTTTCATGTAGAGATATAAACGTTCGTTGCAGTTATCTGAAACATTTAAGTAACTCATAATAGTTTGGGAAAGGAAAAATTGGCAACTTTAAAAATGAAAAAGACATTGTTACATTCCATCTCTAAGCTAAAACGTCCTGAATACACACCTTTTTTTCTAATTCCTCTTTAGTTTTCTGATACATCTGTTCATACTGTGACTTCTCTCTCACAGCGACGCTGAGTCTCTGCTTTAGTGAATCAATAGATACCTTCTTGTTGGAGCACTCCTCAGTCAATGTCTGCACCTACAGTAAGGCATAAGGTAATTGTTACTGGTGAAGGCATTCTAGTGGTATTCTGTCCTTGTTCCAACAGAAACCAAATGAACGCATGGTTATTTTCTTTTTTTTTTTTTTTTTTTTTTTTTTTTTTTTTTTTTTTTTTACCAAAATCTAAAGAAATTTATTCAGTAAGTAATCTAAAATCTAAATCTAAAATGTTACTTTTTAACTTTTCTTTTACTCCAATACAGGTAGCATTCTAATCAGAAGGAGCCTTGCCTAAAAATTATGTGCAATTTGTTCATAAATTAATGTTATTTGTGGGGGCTGTAGTTAATTCTAGAAAATATAATCATCTTTAATAATAAGGTATTGATGATAGAGTAGCGTCATGTTTTGCTTATGACTGCTTGCTATGGCTTACTGACAGGGCAGGTGACAAGTGGGCATCACGATAAGAGGAAATGGGGAAAGTTAGGCTAAAAAGAGAGAACAGCAGCTTTAGCTTCTGGTGAAAGGTATCAAGAATGTTCAAAAATAGTCCATTATGGCTTTGGGAATTTAAAAGCCAAGTGTTTCCCTAAGGAATAAATACAGCAACTTGGATATTTAAATGTTAAAGAGCATTTTTGTCATGAGTGCATATACATATAATATGCCTGTATACATAATGTTGGTTCAGTTTTATTATGGGAAAAGTTTATATATATAACTTTTCATCATGGAAATTTCAAACATATATGCATTATATAGAATAGTATAACAAACTTTTATGTACCCATTAGCCTGCTTTAATAAACTTTCAATATTCTGCCAATTTTGTTTCATCTATACCTTCTTATACTCTCCACCTTCTCATTTGATTATTTTTTAGGTAAAATGTACAAACTTTGAAATACAATGTACCTGCAAAAATTAATACATCAGTGTAACCTACACCCTGAATTATCAGTGTTTTTAAGAAGATATTTTTGGCATAAAAAGTAGTTAATAAGCTTTAGACCGGCTTGCTGTTCCATTTCAACTTCTGCAGATAAATCAAGACACTTGTTTGATGCCTGGACAATAAATTTAATAAAACTTATTGTTTGCAGGCAATTTTGAATGTTGACTGAGGCCATCAGAAGTAACAAATAATCTTCTTTATATAGCTCAGTGCTGAGCAGGCTTGAACAGCCCTGCCTCGAGAATGCAATGTAATTATAAGACATGATTACAACTGATTATAATCAATCAGCATAGTCTTAAGTGTAATTTATATTGCTGCAGCTGTGGTTAGATTAAATCATCACGTAAGATACAATTTCTCCTAGATATGTGAAATTATTTGAACAAACCCAAATACAGTAAACTCATAATACTATAAATGCATAGTAAATTTACGCATGGTTATTTTCTCATAAATGATATCAAATTTAAGTATAAGATTAGTAGAACTCACATTGTGAATGAGACCAATAATCCTTAATCAATAGCACACCAAAAATCGGAAAAAAAAAATGAATACTGATACATGTAGTCTTCCACCTAATAAGACAATATTAATTTTAACTACATTTCTTTTAATTATTAAGCTAAACTTCCTGAAGCAGAAGATGGTCGGTTTTGATTCTTAGACAAGCCAAGGTATGGATAACTTTCAGTTGTAGTCTCCAATATAATATGTACTTTTCAGGGTAAAATTAAATAAGTAATACAACATATTTATTATACATTTAAAAGAATAACAAAGGAAATAGTTTTTCTTTTTCTGTTTAATGCCACTAGAGATACATAATTACTTATACAAAGATTCTAAGACTATCAGAAATGATTATTGACATTAAAAAGTGAGCAAAATTTAAAGGATAACATTGAAAAAATCTATAGGAAGTAATTATAATTTATGTAGGTGTGTGGAGGAGAAAGAGAAAGAAAATCCATATGCGTTTGTCTTGCTCATGTAAAATTTTCTCTCTTAAATTCATTTGAGCTAAACGGATACTTAACGTTTTTATCTCCAACAAGGAAAGTAAAGGAGATGTTCTCCCTGGAGTGGATAACATTTAGTGAATGCCAAAGCACAAGCTGCTTTATGACTTGTGCAAATAGCACCTATTTGTTTTTAAACAAAAAAAAATCTCTTTTAGCAAATTGCTGATTTCTACTTTGGGGTCAGATAATATACAACTATTTTAAGTACAACTCTCTTCCTAAGTAGACTGAATTGAGTATACACAGGGGAAAAGCACACTTTAAAAAGATTGTGGTGGGGGCCAGTCCCGTGGCATAGTGGTTAAGTTCGGCATGCTCCACTTCAGCGGCCCAGGTTCACAGGTTCAGATGCTGGGTGTGGACGTAGACCAGCATCCCATGTATAAAGTGGAAGAAGACTGACATAGATGTTAGCTCAGGACTAATCTTCCTTAAGCAAAAAAAGAGGAAGATTGGCAACAGATGTTAGCTCAGGGCTAATCTTCCTCAGGAAAAAAAAAATTGTGGTATGTACAAATTTTTAAAGAACTTCTGATAGTTATTGGTTATCACCTATTTAATTTAAAACTACATGTGTGATTCTATCATTATAAATTGTAATTTTAAATAAAACAAAATGCTGAATAAACTGTAATTAAGTATCTCAGAAATATTAAAGATCTTTAAAATTTAAACTTGATTATCTTCTCATGTTTATGTTTACAAATATAAAAAGAATGTGTGGCTAATATTATGTATAAGATTTTGGAGTCCTGAATTTTGAAACAATGTACTTTCAGAGCAAATAATGTAATTATATGTAACAGTATATATATATTCTATGAATACTTTGTATAAATTTATTGAGATTGAATATTCAAGTGAAGGAGGTAAATACAATGGGAATCGATTTTTTTTAGTGTCAACAAACGTAAAAGTTGATACCTTTTTTTCAAGATTTTCTAACATTTCATTAACACTCTCATTACTTTCCAAATTCACTTTCTGTCGAAATTTCAAGTCCTCTATCAAATGTCTTTTCATGGTTATGTCCCTCTCCATTCGAGACAGCCTTGAAAGGGAAAAACAAGAGGATAAGCTCACATATTATCCAATGCTATACTTACCTTTAATCTTTAAATGCTATCTGATATTAGTGAAACTGCAAATTAATAAAATAACTGCATGGGGTAAAATATTGCTCTGTTAATATTTTGAATATTTGTAAGATATGCAATCCAGTTGTGACTTGGTAATTATAGTATTATATATGCATTAAAACATAAAAAATAGAAGAACTGAGGAAGATTAATAAAATTTATGAAAACAAAATTATATTTAAATTATCTTCTTGCATTACTAAGAAAAATCCAAGTGATAGAGATCACCAAAAAGCATAACACTGAGAAAACAACTCTATACTTTAATAAACAAACGCAAAATCTTATAATATCATGTAAACACACTAAAATTAGGCACGATACCTTCTAATTTAATGTCATTTGAGATTGAACTGACATTTCAGTTTAGGTTAAGTTGCTAACATATTAGGTACAAAATGGTAGATGCAGTGACAACCACCACAACTATTCCCACTATAATAACAACAGCTAACATTTCCGGAGTCCTTATTAGGGCCAGTCATGGCTATAAGTGCTTTTCATGTACTAACTCATTTAACCCTCGTAAGATCTTTAAGAGCTAATACTACTAAACTGAGGCACTGAGCCAGCAGGTAGAGGAGCCAGGATTCAGAAAACATTTCTTACAGCCCTCTCTGTTAAACAGTAAGCAAGACTTCCCCTTAATCTAATAAGTAAACTCCAAGATACTCTGTTTAAAAAATTAACCAATCTTTTTGTCTAAGAGTTTTATCTATTAATATCACTTTTAAGTGCTCTTCACTTATAATGTGGTATACATGCACGTGTATGAGATACATACATCCTAAATGATCAATGACACACTGGAATTCTAGCTGAAAATGTTAGCACCTCTATGCTCTGGTATATCTATAACAGATACAGACAGAAAATAATTTTGACTCAGTGAGATAGAATATTTTAAACCCCTTTTATTAATAAATACCTTAAGTACAAACTTTCATCACCCTCCAGTTATTTTAAATACAAATAAAATTTTCCCCTTTTTCCATCTTAGCTTTGTAAACTTAGGCATTAAATCCAATGTAAGGATCAACCCACACATACATATTTTGTCAAATAATTACCATATCCTAAAATTTTTTGTTCATAGTCTTCAGGCCATTAATTTATATTTATTTGAAATTAAATGTTTATTGTAAGAAAGAAAATCTATAATATTATAAATATAATTTTAAAATAGTAACTAACTTGCCATCAACCATGCTTTCTGTGATATCCCTTAAACTTTCATCCTCTGTAGGCCTGAACACGAACTAAGGATGGACAATTCAATTTTTAACGTTTGTATTTTCTTGAGGTGCAATGTTTAATAGAGGTGATTGCCACTAGGTGGCACCAAATACAATGGATAAAAACATAAAGAACATACTTTTCATGCATTTCCTTTATGTGTTCTTCTTTTGCCAGGAGTTCAAATTTCAGAGACTTCACGTTTGACAACTGTTTAGTGAGTTCATTAGTTGCATTCTAGATTAAAAACGTACATAAATTCAAATACACCTTTCGATCTTGGTCTAAAGCAGTACAAAAATAAATGCCATTCTCATGAACAGTAATAAATTTGTAATAATTATCCTTATAATTAAAATGAACATTTTAATATTTTTAAATCTTTTATTTTATATGTTCTAATAGAAATACTATAGTACACTAAAAGTTTTATATAACATGCCAAAACTGTAGAAGAATGTAATCATATAACAACTGCAAAGAATACACACCCAAAATACATTTACAGGAAATACAGACGTTTTTTGTAAAATGTAAATGTGTATGCAATTAAGTATTTTAATGGTTTAATAAGATAACTTAAAACTAATGCTGGATTTATTAATAGCCTATAACAGACTAAATATTGTCACAAATGCCCTGCCTTTCCCACAAAGAGAAGGAATCCATCTCCCAACCCCTTGAATCTGGTCTGGGCTGTGATTTGCTTTGACCAAAAGAACATGGCAGAAATGACACTGTGCAAGCACCAGACCCTTGGCCTAAGTCCTGGTAGCTTGCCCCTCTGCGCTCCTGGAATATGGCCCTGGGATCACCTTGCAAGGAATACAGAGGAAAGGCCACATGGAGGAGTACTGGGGCACCCAGGTGACAGAAAACAGGACAGCTGCCAGACCTGGGAGTGAGGCTATCTTGGAACTTCCCACTCAGGTCAATCCTTGGTTTAGAGAAATGCAGGCATCTGAGAGACCCCAGAAGAGAACGGCAAAAGAACTTCCCAGTCAACCCCCAGAACATAAGAAATAATAAATTGCTGCTGTTTTAAACTGCTATATTTTAGGATAGCTTTTTAGACAGTAATAAAAAACTGACAGAATCTTATGAATGCTAAATACTTCCTTACTTGAACTTACTAATAATACCACTTATTATTAAAGTATTTATACATAATTATTAGTTTTCCAAAGCTTTGTGGTATTTGTTGTCTGCACAGCGTAGGAGCCAGAGGGAGTAACTAGAGCGTTAGGACCCCTAAGTTTCAATTTTGACTCAAGTTTCAAGTAAACATGTAATCTGACACATCACTTAATCTTTTTGATACTTTAGTTTTTCCACCTACAAGATAGTGTTGATATGCAGTAATTCATTGGTTAATTTTAAAAAATATTTAACATATATAAAATATTATAGCTTTAAAAATATTTGGAGTAGTTATTTTGCTAATCTTTCTAGTAACTACAATCAACTGCTTCTATTAGAACTATTCCCAGGTTTGACTGACAAAAGCTAAAAAAATGTAAATCTGAAAAGATGAAACCATTAATCACACAATGTAAATAGAAGTCAAATTCATCAGATAGACTTTAAATATTTAATATTTAAATATCTAATATTTAAATATTGGTATAGCCTATGTAAATAAAATATTTGAAGTAATTTTAATTTTTACATCAAATATGATATTAATTGTCTTAAAAACCCAAGGCTACCTCAACACGACAACTGTATCAAATGTTAAAAGTTTTGATCACGTTTGTGTAATGCAATCTAAATTTCCACCATATTTTCCATGTTTAAGGTGATATCTAGTGTCTTATTTCTAGCACTGCCAGAGTAAGAGGTTACACGCTAGTAAGTTTACCAGATAACTGAAGCTTTGCTTTACTTATTAATCTTAAATTCTTTCCGGAATGACCGTTCATTCATTTAGAAACAGGAACATCCACAATTCATTAAGCTAATAGTGATGCTTTAATATAGTGATATTATATTATAAATATTATCAGTATATTAAATATATGGTATATTACTTATCAACTATATTATCACTATATCATCATAGAGTGATGTCTTTAGGAATGATTATGATATAAATGGCTACTTACTCCTACTCTAAATGGTCCTATACTACTGTTTTTATAATTTTGTATTTTTACCTTAACATTTTTATATATATTTTTTCTCTCTGTCAGTCTGTTGGTTACAATTTCTTGTTTCTGTCAATATTCCTGCCTAAAAACAATCATCCTGTCCCTTAATACGCATACTTCTACTTTGTTGCTTTTGAGGTGTTTTCTGCCGAGAAGTTAAATAAATAAACTTATTAGAGCTGTATTTAAAATAAAAGATAACAGGCAGTAAATGAAACCTGTCAGTATTTTGACAGAAAAAAAAAAAAGAATTTTAAGATAGCTGTTTGAATCTTTTCTGTTTTTAGACTTAAGGCTGTTATGTTAGGTGACTGAAAATGCCATAACTCTGACTTCTAGATAATTGAGGGATTACTGAATTATAGTAAATAAAAAAATGCCAGCTTGATATATACTTATGCCAGAATTTCTAAGTCTCACAGCTATTTCATTTGATTCTCAACACTCCTTCTGACATGGGTAGAAAGGTATCGCTGCTGTAGACCTCTGGAGAAGTTAAGTAACTTCCCTAATCAGGTCTCAGGAGAAGTCAGCGGACAAAGAGTGATCACAACCCAGGTCCTCTGATCCTTTTCCATTTCCTACTACACAATACTTCCCTGCAGCATGACTTAACATCTGGAGTATAACACACATTTCAAAAATGTCACCATGACAAGAATCCATCCTGGTTAGAGATTTCCTACCTGTTTATTAAATATTATTTAAAATTTGCAGAGTGTAATAAGTAAGGGCATGGACTCAGGAGCCAGATGGTTTGAGTTCTAATCTCAGTTCTGTCACTAAGTAGCCATGTGACCTGGGAGAATTAACTTATTCTCTCTGTGTCTCAGTTTTCTCAATTGCAAAATAGAGATAATAATAGAACTTATCATACAGGGTTCAAATGAGGATTAAATGAGTTAATATTGGTAAAGGAGTTAGAACCAGACAGGCAATAGATTATATACAAAGGAGTAGTAGTTTAAAAACTACTAACCTTTACTATTAATTTACTGGGAAATTGGAAGAGAACATGGTATATACCAAAAGGAATATTTATAACAATCAGGAAGTCAAAGAAGCACAAATATAAATTGGAGTACTATTCAATCCAGATTGTATAAAGAACTACAAATTAAATTAAATATAAACAACTGATGTATACATCATTCAGTGGAAGGAACTGATATGTCTCTAAATATTTTATTATCTATCCATATAAACTTTGGTACCTTGAGGAAACACATCTAATATGGGTAAAGATGAAGATATGGAAAAGGTACATGAGCACTCTAATGATACTGAATGACCCACACACATCTGAGAAGTATACTAAGAATTTACATAGAAAAGTCTAATATTAATTGGATAAAATAAGAAAGATGCATGTAGATCTTTAATAGATTCAAATCTAACCAGTTTTTCTCAAATAAGCATAAAAACATCAACCAGAAAATAAGCTACTTCTTAGAAAATCATGGTTAGCAATTTGATATCTGTTACGGGCTAAAATATGTCCCCTCAAAATTCATGTATTGAAGTCCTAACCCCTAGTAACTCAACATGTGACTTATTTGGAGATAGAGGTAATTAGGGGAAATGAGGTCATATGGGCAGGCCTTAACCGATATGACCGGTGTCCTCCTAACAAGAGGAGGTTAGACACAGACCACACAGATTGAGGGACAATCACAGATTGTGACGACACAGCAGTAAGGTGGGTATCCACAAGCCAAAGAGAGAGGCCTCAGAGGAAACCAAACCTGTTGATATCTTGATCTTGGACTTCCAGCCTCCAGAACTATGAGAAAATAAATTTCTGTCATATTAAGCTACTCACTCTGTGGTATTTTGGTATGGCAGCCCTAGCAAACTAACACAATATCAAAACAGAAATTTGTAGTAGAAGAGAGTATTATGTACTTAAAAGTACCTGGTCTTCTAGGAAATTTCCATATTAAAACATGAAATAAGACAAAAGTAAAGATTTACCCTTTGGTCCCTATGCAGCCTGGTTAGTGTTACAGGACTCTAGGCTAGATATGGACAACGTCACTCCAAACTTACATCAAGTGTGATCTGAACTGCTTTAGGCACTCCCTTAGTCTCAACTCTGTGACCCACACATTCCTCCAAAGCAAGACAGAGATTTATATATGGGTAAAAACTTATACCATGGGACACCACAATGCAAATACTCACAGATATTCATATGGGCCTATTATTACCAAAAATTATGTTAGAGCATTAGCAGCAAGTAAAATCAAATAAGCAAAATATAAATCAATTTAAAACTAGCAACAATTTAAAATTTTTTTGAAGTCAGATTAGACATTACTGGATCTAACATTCTATTTTATCTTGGTGAAAACTAAAGTGGTGTTAGGATTGTGAAGACTTAAAGAAGAATCACAAAAGTGTGGATAAAAGTCCCTGTAGTAGACGGGGTCAAAGAATATCTCAATGATTGCATCCTTTGTATAGAAATCTAAACACAAAATCTTCAACTTATGAACGATACGAGAACAAAATATTCATTTTATTCCACTTTTTCAGAGACAGAAACACATTTTAAGAGAATACACATGCCCCCAAAGTTGCACAACTATTTTTTCTCACATTTCTATTACGCAAGGTATTTAAACTTATAAAATGTAGTAGTTGAGGCAAGTTCTGCACATAAAAACTGTCTGATGAAGACGGTATTTAAGAAGTATCTAAATTAATGCCAGTGGATAAAGCAAAATATTTTCAAGCAATGATTCACTAATTTACTTTAAACTTTATCCTAGTTTATCCTATTAGTAATCTTTCATTTAAAAATATTATTATTGGCGAGTGCACATATAATATTGTGAATTGAAAACAACTGAGTGTATTTGCCAATTCAATAGTCGAATACCCTCTTAACAGTCAATTATTCCATTCCTGAAGTATTCTGTGCATTTCCAACCAGAATTTTCTTCCTAGTGACTCTCACCATAGATATGGTCCCATATACACTGTCCTTTTAGCTTCAAGCTAGCAATCCCCACCAAAGAAAATAATTAAGTATAGGAGGGATAAACGCTTTTTTTTTACCTAGCATAAAAATGAACCTTCCGATTAAAACTCACAAATCCTATTTCTTACAAGATAATTCTATTTAAACTAAGATCACCCTTACTTTTAAGTTGTTGACAGCTTCACCTGAACTTAGATACAATTCTTTACAAACAAAAGAAATCTTGCTTTTTATTCTTACTCTCAGTTTTAACTTTCTGAAATCTATTGAACCAACTCACCTTTGTGTTTCTTCTCCCTCCCCCAACTTCCCTCCTTCCTCCCCATCTCCAACCAACAACCACCAAATTAAAATAACAGCAAGTGTGCAGAGGGAAGCAATTCTATTTATGTTAATACATTACATGTTTGAAAGGAATCTGTTCAGTGGAGGGAGGAATGGGGGGCAGACAGGACTTGAATAGTGGAATAGAATGACAACGGCCAGTTTCCATCATCTCCTAAATTAGGATATATGGTGTCTTGTCAATTTTTCGGAGAACAGTATTATAAGTTACTAGGTAAGAATCTACCAGGCTAAAATAGAACGATGAGGTTAAATGTAGTATTAATAACTTTGGATTATTTACACTATAATTTACCTTTGTTATAGAATTAAATTAGAATTCATACAAACTTGTCTTTAAGGATTCATTGACTTAAATGTGTTTTCATCTTTAATAAAATTTATAATCACCTTTAGTTTACACTGCAATTGCTTCATTTCCAAGTCCATGCTCCTTGAAGTACCAAGTGATGTAACTTGCATCCGTGGAACTGTTACCTGGGAAACTTCTTCTGTCAAACTTGTGATTTCAGATGAGGACTCTAATTTCTTCAGTAAATCTTCTTTTTCTTTCCGAAGCGCAGCCAAATCCAAATTTAGTTTCTTTTTTTTTTAAATAAAATAAACACAAATATATTATAAAAGTAATTGCATTTAATCTAATAATTGTCAGCATTCAAAATTCTACAGGTAGGAAAATACTAAAGAAAAGAAATTAATTATAAGACTAGTTACTGTAAAAACTTCACAAAAATTATTATTTCTACCAGTTTTTGCTTAAGGTTTTGGGACTTGTAGAGGTTAAAACAAAAGAGACCAGCTGAAATTGCTATCTTTTCGTTGTCTGGTCTTTACTCATGATGTGCTATTTCTTTGCCTTCGCATATACATGGGTGAGCCAGTGATTCACATATTTGATAACCTTGACTTCAGGGCTGATGTACTTAACTGGTAAAAGCTAAGCTGGAGCAGGATGGGATAACAGATGTTAGTTGTTTATTCCACTGGGTAGGTCTTACCACCCTATATAGCAGCCAAAATGCTTCTCATTTAGCAACATAAATGTTAAGTCCAATTAGTAGAAGAGGCTTATTAGAGATTTAGTTCAAATAAATAGCGTACAAACAAATTTGCTCAGTCTTCTGCACGTGATTGATAGTTGACAAGTCCTCTTTGTAATGTTGAGGTAGATTGCACTAAACCTTTTACATTTGAATTTTTAATAACACAAACATTTTACTAAATGGCATACTGGTAATATTTTTATGAAACAGTTAATGTTAGCCCTTCTCGCTCACCAATCTGCAGTCAGCAGAATGCCACCAGGCTGTAATGATACAACAACTTAGAAGTCCTTAAGAGGATAACCGCACTACTATTTTATTATTCCAAAGAAGCTTATACTGTGGTAGTTTAACATAAGGAACAATTAGACAAAATGGTAGTGAAATCTCTCAGAGGGGTAAAATAATCTTTCTTTGTTAAGAACTCTAATTAAAACAGCAAAAGATGTAGCTAACATGTACAGCGGTATAAATATGAGACATAATAAGTTAAGCATTAACACTATATTTAAACACAACTCCTGGAATTTATACCAATAAATCTTTGTTACATATGTATTTGTGTATACTTGTGTATACTGTTAAATATGAATATTTTAGATCACAGATTCAAAACTAGGGCTTGACATATTTGAGATTAAACTATGTTTTTGTCAAATAAAAAAGTATGTTTTGGTGAAAAAACTTATTCCTTTGGCTATATTTTAACTTACGATCTAAAAGCATGGTTCTATACATTTTCAGGAAATATTCATTCATGAATTGTCCCAAAGGTACTTAATAATTAGTATCTAAAAGCAAACTCACAGTTTCCCCAAACCTGAAAATCTTCCTGGTTATCATCCAGGCTTGAATCTATCTCCCTCTTTGTTTATGAATTCTCTATGTCCCATCAATTGTCAGGTTCTGTAAATTAGGTAACACGTTTCTCATATCCATTCCCTTCTGCCGCCTTCCTAATGAAGACTCATTATCCCACTAAGACTTCGGCAGTAACCCTTCCCCTCCCCACAACCTTTCCCTGCCTTCAAATAATCTTTTATACAACTTCCTAAAACAACACTGACCTATCACTCCCTTATTCAAACCGTTCTGGGGTTCCTCAGCCCAACAAAATAAAGCTCAGGTGTTTGTGGTCAGAATAAGGCTCTCTAAGATTTAGCTTCTATTTGTGTTTCAGTCGGACATCACTTGAAGTCCAACTTGCCTGCCCTTCCCCAAACCTGTCTTCCATCTCTACACTGATGCATCTAGACATGGTGTTTCCTTCTGCTGAAATTTCTCATGCTTAAAGAGCAACTTAGCATTTTCTCCTTAAGAAGCCATCTCTGTTCTTTCTTCTCTTTTTCTTCAACAAAGTAGCTTCTCCATTCTCTTAGCTTCCAGAGCACTGTGCCTGTTTCTCAACCACGAACCCTAGTAAATCCCGAGAGAGACTCTGCCTTTGTTTACTTATATATTCTCCACAATATCTAAAAACAAAGCCTTCTGTATAGTGAGAACCAAAAGAAAGGTTTCAAAACTTCAAGACTCCCTATTTGTAGCAAGGATGGTGCTATAAAGACACATTGATTTCAGCCTGTGTTTATAAACTTTCTATTGGATTATCACCATATAAATTAAAAAACACTTTTATTAGCAATGTAATAATATTAGCTTTTACTGAAGTAGTGGGCACTGGAGTATTTATCAATCTTGAAGTTAACACTGTATCTAAATTAGACTTTTTGAGATTTTGATTTGGTAAGACATAACTCATGGCTACAAGTCTAGATGGAATCTTAGGAAACAAAAAAGAAAAAACTTCGAGGAGGCTCTTTTCTTCCTTGAACAGCTCCAGTGGCTTCCCTCATTTGTTAAACTTGTACGCCATTAGATTTCTGTCTATCCCTTCCCAGTGGCAGAACTTGACACTATAATATATTCTTCATTGAGGAAAGACCAAGCCAATAAACATATTTCTCTAAAAAACAAGTATATGTAGATTTTAATTTCAATTTAACAATATAAAATGTATTAAATGAAGAAACACTGAAATTACGGAGACAGTAAACCAAATGACTTGTAATTTATTAAAATACAAATCATGTTTTGATTTAAAAATATTTAAAATGTACAATCTTTAAATCATATTTCTAATATCAGTTATATATGTGTAGAAATGCTACCAGAGCACCTGTCAAAATAGAAGAAATAGGCAAATCATATATTCCATCAGTTTGGAATACTTTGATTATCCCTTAGAATTTTGGACAAATAATTACAGCTCTATTACTAACTTCTCTCAGTTTAAACAATCTATTTCTTATTTGAGAAATACTATAGATAAGACAAGAAGCATAAATAACTTTCTTTTGTTTACATTTGGTGTGGCATATGAGGTCACTTTTGTGGTGACCTTGATAGAAAGAGATTGTGCTATAAAATCTACCAATAAAGATTACTCTTAAAATTGTTATTTTTCTTTTTTATTAGAAGGATGATTTCTATTTCTATATTATTACCTTTCCATCTCTAATCAAAGATTTAAAAATAGTAAGTCATATTATATTAAAACCACAAATAATAATAAAACAAATAGAAGAGTCATAATTTCTGGATTCTAGTTTTGGATCTACTGCTTACCAGCTGAATGATGCTGAACAAGCCCTTGACTTTGTTTCCTCATTTAAAAACAGAGATGATGCTTGCCTACCTAGCAAAGGTAATTTTGAGTGCAGATTTAAAAACAAATTCTATGATAGTACTTGGTAAGTTTTAAATTTACAGCATTATTGTTAGCATCATTGTCTTGTGGTAAATGCTACCATATAGAGTCTGAGAAGTGTCTTAAAGGGCTGAGGACCTGGATTAACAAAAACTTTGGTACACACACACACATACACATATAATAATCCTATAATTTCTCTCATGATAGAAACCTTATTTTACCTTAAGTGAGAGTATTTGTTTGATCTCAATTTAGGATTCTCTATTATGCTACAAGCTTATTGAAGGCAGATGTGTTACTCTGACTCTTTACATCTCCAGCAGTGCGATCCCCCCACAATCTTTTAAAAGTCTATTTCAATTTAAAAGTTGACTTCAATGAGAATAAATACTGAGATTTGTATTGATTGATGTGTAGTCAATTATTCTAACCAAAGGTTATAAAATAGAACTTAACACTATAAAAGTTTAATATTTCACTAGCTATTAATTATTTATTTAAATATATAGCATTGAGGAGAGAGAACATATAAGTCTCTGAAAAGAAAAGAAACCTCTAAGCAACTGTAAGAAGAAACAAGAATATATTGGAGAATTCATTCTTCAATAATGAGCACTGTGGTAGGCAGAATTGTCAGATGATGCCCAATGACCTATGCCCTTGTATAATACTCTCCTCTGGTAGGTGAGTGGGATCATGAATATAATGGGCTATCACTCCCATGATTACATTATTCACATTATGTTATATGCAAAAGGGATTCTGTAGATGTAAATTATGGTCCCAAATCACATGACTTTGAATTAATCAAAAGCATGATTGTCCTGGTTGATCCTGACCTAATCAGGTGAGCCCTGTAAAACAAGGCCAGGGCCCCTTCTGAGGTCAAAGAGATTCTCCTGCTGGCATTGAAGAAGTAAGTTGCCATGTTATGAGAGTACTATGGAGGGAGCTATAAGGTAAGGACCTAAGGAAGGCCTCAAGTGCTGAGAATGGTCCTTGACCAGCAGCGGGCCAAAAAACAGGGACCTCAGTCCTACAACCACAAGGAACTGATTTTTTCCAACAAACACATGAACTTGGAAGGAAAGCCTGAGCTCCAGAAAGGAAGGCAGCCTGGCTGACACACTAATTGCAGCCTTGTGATACTCTGAGCAGGGGGCCCCACTAAGATGTGCCAGACTCCTGACCCATGGAAACTGTGAAGTGATATGTGTATATGTTGTTTCTAAGCTGGTAGATTTGTGGTAATTTGTTATGTAGCATGGAAAACTAATATGAGTCCCAATTTTTAAAAACTCGTCCCCTTTCTTAAAACTATCCCTTGTTCCCTATTACCACCGTGCCCCATCTTAAGCAAGTATCCCAAACCCCATAGTGTATAGTCTATATAATATCTTCATTCTGGTTTAACTTTCTTTTCCTTATCCATAGTTTTGTGTTAATTTTATTTCTTCAATTGCTTAAAAAGTATTATTACACAAGTGACGTCAGCATCATGATGGAGTGAGCTGTTCTTTCAGACTCTCCTCCCTAAGATACAATGAAAAGGACATTCACAAATGAATAGAGGACACTCACACAACACAAAAGACATCTGAGAGATCCACACAGCCATACGCCTGAAGGTGGAGGCTCTGGATCACCCAGGAGGAAATGGAAGGAGGTAAGGGGATTTCCTCTCCCTCCCCCTATGGCAGCGACCCAGGGCATGGGACTATGTGCAGCTCTGAGAATTGAGGCAGGAGGGCTGGCTCCCAGTAGAACACATTCACTCTCCAAGTTCCCTCACAGCCCATGGGAAAGTTCCATGCAGAGGTGGCTAAGCT